CACAAACCGATCGTTTCGTGTCTTAGGACATCAATGTGTCGTCACGAGCCGCAGGGTTTAATTTGGATTTGTCTGTGTATGTTTTTTTTGTACTCATAGATTTTGTTGCCATGCATTATACAACTGATAGACTGCAATGGCTGGAGTTAAAAATCTCTGTTTGTGTTCTACTGAAGAAACAAAGTCACCTACATCTTGGATGCCCTGGGGGTAAGCAGATAAACAAACTTTTCATTTTTGGGTGAACTACCCCTTTAAGAATTTTTCAAGAATTGCACTTAAGAACATTCTTACGAACTTCGTGGTATTTATCTTAAGAAATTTCTTAAATTATTTCTTAAGAAGATTTTCGTGAATCCGGCCCCAGGTGTTGTACACAGTGGAAATCCCCCCAAAAGTGAGCCCTACCGAACCATGCCAACCAGTGGAAAAGTGCCATTAGTGTATGATGTCCAGCTTTTCTCTGTAACCAAAATAAAATGCTAGTACCACTCAACCCAAACATTACAGCTTTCCTATTTTGTGCAGTTTTAATAATTGATTTCTTTTCCCTTTTTTTTTCCTTCTTCCTTTTTGTTCCCCCATCCAGTATGGAGGACCATATCCTCCAGGACAGTATGGTGTTCCAGGGGGCTACCAGACACCTGCTACACCCACTGGACAGGTATAGACCTCTAAATATCATTTTGAATTAGTGCTGGCCATGTATATGACCTAGTTTTTTGTACGTTTGAAGTATTTCACTGATTACCCCTTCCTCTCTTTTTCAGGCCCCTGCTATGCCCATGATGGAAGATCAGTCCTCCAGCTATCCCTCCCAGCCCCCTCCTCCTGCAACCTCTTACCCCCCTCCACCATCCCAGACCCCCTACAACCCTAATTGTACCATGCCATACAGCCCCACTGATTCAAGCGCTATGATGCAGGGCTACAATTCAGGACAGATTCGGCCAGGGTACCAGGGTTACCAAACTCCAGCATATCAGCCCCCTCAACAGCAGGGTCCAGGACAGGGCCTATATGGTGGCCCAGGCAGGGTGGATGCTAAGAAACCTAACAATAGCAATATGAACAAAGGTGGCCAGCAGCTGTGGCAACGCATGAAACGTATGTGTCTCTGTGCTTATGTGTGTACGACTTTTAATTATATCCTCCTAATGTTCTTTTTCTTCCCTAACAGAGGCTCCTGGAACCGGTGCTGTCAAATTTAATATACAAAAACGCCCATATGTCATGACCAATCAGAACTTTCCTTCAGGTGATCAGGCCCCTGGATTGGCTTCACCCACTGCGACAAACCCATCGCCTGGGTCTGTTGCTGCAACCTCTACTACTTCCACAGGAGCCGCCCAAACTCGGTAAGCGTCTTGGGAAATATTTTAAGTTAAGGTAAATCATTAGATCTGTGCTAATTTAAATGCAAGGTATCATCACCCATATTAAGGAAGTGATTTTTAAATGTAATTTAAAATCAGTGAAAACCTTTTTTTTTTTTTTTGTAGGCCACAGGACTGGCCACAGGCTATGAAAGAGTATGTACAACGCTGCTTCACAGCCTGCGAATCTGAAGAGGATAAGGACCGAACAGAAAAAGTGCTGAAAGATCTTCTGCAGTCCAGACTACAGGATGGCTCTGCTTACACTATCGACTGGACCAGAGAACCACTGCCAGAGTCAGTTGCATCTCTGTTCTGTAACTTTCTACCCTTGGTTTAGTTCAGCATTCTTTTAGTCCGCTTCAGATTTGTTTTTTCAAACTTAACTACTGGCACTAAATAACCACTTGCTTTATCAGTTTGAAGACAAAGCAGTCTCGCTGGGAGGCAGCTCCTCAGCGTTCTCAAGAAAATGCTATTGGGAGAGGTGGAGCCACCCGTGGCAGGCTTGGGGCCAGGTTGGGTAACTACAGAAATGTCTTTTCTCAAAGAAGCCCCTCTTCAAGCTCCTCCCACTCATCCTGCTCCTCGTCACGATCCCCGTCACCTCACAGCCGACACAGGGACCGGAGTAGACATCATCGCAGGTAATGTGCAGGGCATTAATGTGCTTGATTAATAATCTAATACGGTCACTTTTTTTTAGTAAATATGAAAGGAAATGGAGATCAGTAGGGTTGGGTACCGAAACCATATTGGCACCCGGTACCTATGTAACCAGTATGTACTAGAACAGAATCAAAACTTAGGTTTCGGTGCCTCATTTCAGTGCCAACTGAATGCCTGAGCGATCGGTTGCGCTATTTGTCCTCTGGTTCTCCAAAATGGACATAAGAAGCATTATCACCAGCACCGCACGTGAAAAATAATTTCCGTCTGAGAAAATGCACGTAAACGCAAGTCGGAAAACTCTAATAATACAAATCTGTCTAGTAACGTGAGTGTCCCACATTGTTCACACATTCTGACTTAAAAGCACAACTCGGGAAAAGTGACCATCCGAGGAGCGCATTAATGCAGTATTTTACACTTGCTCTGATGCCAGCAGGTCTGCTGTTAGCTATCTCAGCTAAACAAGCTTAAATTAAAATACCTAAAGCTAAACTTCCCTTGTAATGACTTGCAATAAGCATTTCTAAACCTGTTATCCAACAAAAGAGAACATTATAAAATTTTTACTCCACAACACTTTTGTGATCTGATGTGGCTTGTCACAGAATGAGGCAGAAAATGTTCTATACTGTAAAAAAGGCTATGTCGATTAGCAATGGATTATAAATATAGTGAGCTAGTGAGCGACGCCTCGTGGTACCATCACAGAGAGGCACAAAATCACTTTCCAGAACATTTTCGTTCACTGTTCCTGGCTGGTGGAATGATCTTCCAACCCCTATCCGGAATGCTGATTCCCTGACAATTTTCAAGCGACAGCTGAAAACTCATCTCTTTCGTCACTATTTGACTTCATCCTAAAAAAAAAAAAACTTAGTTTAGAGTAAATGTAAATATACTTAATTATGAAAATACCTACGATGGCTTGGATAACAGATAAACTATACATTGTCGCAGTTGATTGTTTATTGCCTTTGTTTTAGAGCCCTGCACGGGCCTTAAATTTAGGCCCCAGCCAGGCCCTGGCCCGAGACGCTCAGGCCCTAGCCCGGCCCGTGTCCGACAGCTTATCAGAATTACCGGCCCGAGCCCGTCTTTTTTCCCCCTTCTCCCAAAACCGCTTCTACTGCTGTTTCAGCTATTAAAATAGTTCAGTTTTGTATGTAATGGCAAAGTGATTATATTTCGTTTAGTTTTTTTATTAAGTTAATTTAGAAAAACGTTTGGAGTATTTTTTTTTTTGTTCGTTAAATAGAAGTTTTTGTTTTTTAAAGTAATGACCAAATGGCCAACGGCAGACAGTGAGCTGATTATAGCCGGTGTTTGATCAATTTAGCCTTCTCAAATCATCACGACTTGCCTAAAATAAAATCTATAGATATAAAACAGTTCAAGCATATAACAATGTTTAAACGTTAAGCCTAGATAAATGTGCGCTATATCCAGTAGTTTGTGTGGAGAGTGGAAGCTAAAGTACGCTTTGCAGGACATGGAGGCAACCGCGCGATCACTTGCATTTTTTTCAGTGGAATCAACTTAAAATAGCTACGCCGTCATTTTTGCTCATAAAGGTAAAAGTAATACATAATTCGGAACTGTAAAGGGTCTACTTTTATTTGTGTACTCACAATATCAACAAAACGTTGTGCTTTTATAAAATAAAGAAAACAAACATGATGCGCTTTCTGCCGTCTCGGTCTTGAACAGGAGCGCTTCACAAAAATGAACCGAAACTCAGCGAATACATGTCTCACAGACATGATAAATATATCTATAGAAAGCTTTAAATTACTACTTGGTGAAATAAAACCAATAGAAAACAAAAACTCTTTCATTATAATCATGATCTGTAAAGATGCACTTCTCTCTAAAGGCGCGTCTAATGAGGAGATGGCGAGTCAGGATCGACATCTTCATCCTTGCGACACCGACTCAGAAAACACTAGTTTATTAGTAAATAATTCAAATAACTCCTTACTATTTTCACCTGACACAGTAATTACTTTTGCTGGGGCTTTGCGGCAAGCTTTAGCCTATTGCGTGCATTTGAACGCAGAACTCTTCAGCTGCACTGATGGCACACGCTCTGCTGCTGGACACTAAACACCGTCGAGCCGCTCTTGACAGTCGCGGTAGCATGGTCTCGTGGTGTTTCCACCAGCGCGGCAATTATATATATTTTTTTATCACTAATTGATGGATGTCTAAAATATAAAAAAAATAAGGATAAGCCTAAAACAGGCCCGAGGCTTGGCCCGCGTCTGATCTATGATGTGAAAATTTGCCCGAAGCCCAGCCCTAGGGGCATAAAAAAGTCGGGGGCCAACTGAAATGGACTCTACTTTGTTTTATCATTCAAAACATTTATATCTTCTGTTTACTCCGTTACAGAGTTAGCAATGCCTTTGTCCATATAAGAGATTTCCTAGAATGTAGTGAATTCTGTTACTTCTGTGATGCATATGTGGAATTTCTGCACAAGGGTGCCCTCTGGTGTCCATAATAAATGAAATGGACATTACATGTGTTTATAACGCTATTGACCATTCCTTCCTATTTTGGGAAAGAAAAAAAATATAAGTATCAGTTCATGCACTGTTTAGGCACCGGTACAGTTTTAAAAGTATCGATTTGGTCAAACTGACAAAACAAGCACAGAACATTTTATCCAAGTGATGTGACCCCCATACTCCAAACAACCTCAACTATGATAATGATAACAGTATTGGGTGAAAAATTCTTCCTCGTGCCTCCTACAAGAGACTAAAGAATATGTAGGCCTATCTTGTGATACACGTTGCCTGTTTTAGGGTTAAGGAATGTGTTTATCACATTTTGGTCAGTATGAAAATGTAGCCACTTTAAAACATTTGTATTGACCTCATTAACCTTCTTTTCTGACTTCCATCAGGAATATGGAAGACCTCGCCAGTGGTATTGGTAAAAAGCGGAAAGGTGGTAATGCAGGGCTTGACTTTCATGACCCAAATCGTGAAGCGAAGAAGCAGAGCCGGGCAGCACGCTTCCACACTAAACTACGCACTGAACCCCTGGTGTTAAACATTAATGTTTTTGACCTCCCTAATGGCACACAAGAGGGATTGAGTTGGGATGAATGCCCCATAGTTGGCACCTGCCAGGACATCACCAAAAACTACCTGCGCCTGACCTGTGCCCCTGACCCTGCAACCGTCAGACCCATATCTGTGAGTGTTTTTCAAAGTGTTGCTTACCTTTAGAGATCTGTTTACTGGTTGTAGTTGTGTGGTCAGCACTGTATGCTGTGTGTGTTGTTTGTGGGTTGTACTCAAAAAGTGGTATGTATTTGGTTAATTAAGCAGTTTATTTGAAGATTTGTATTGAATCTTCTGTTGTGTTTTAGGTGTTGCGAAAGTCCCTGATTGCAGTTAAAACCCATTGGAAGTCCAATCAGGATTACTTGTACGCATGTGAACAAATGAAGTCAATACGACAGGATCTCACTGTGAGAAATATTTACTAATACCGCTTACCTGTCTCACATTTTTATCTTTTAGTGTCTTATTTTGAATTCTTGTGTCATTCAAGGTTCAAGGTGTGCGTACAGACTTCACTGTGGAGGTGTATGAAACACATGCTCGCATCGCTTTGGAAAAGGTATGTGCATGTAAAGTTAGCTTTGATTGAAAGGCTTTTTTCTTTTGTACTAAACCCACATTTCGACTGTTATCAGGGTGACCACGAGGAGTTCAACCAGTGCCAGACCCAGCTGAAGGCGCTGTATAAAGACTGCTCATCGGACAACGTGGGAGAATTCACTGCCTACAGACTTATCTACTATATCTTTACTAAGAATTCTGGAGGTATAAATTGCCTTTTTTTGTAGAATGAACAGTCAAGTTTACACTCACTTTTTTCAGTCCATGTCATACATTCTCAATCACACATGAAGTCTTTAATGCCTTTGCTAAAAAATTTTTATAGACCTGACAACCGAGCTTGTGTACCTGACCCCTGAGCTCCGTGCTGATCCGTGTGTAGCTCATGCTCTTGAGCTCCGTACTGCCTGGGCACTTGGAAACTTCCACCGGTTCTTCAAACTCTATCAGAATGCTCCACGTATGGCTGCTTACCTTATTGATAAGTTTGTGGAGCGTGAAAGAAATCTAGCGCTGAGGGCTATTCTTAAAACGTGAGTGCAGTTGCCAAGCAGAATGCTTACAAAAATTATGCTTTTTATAATTTGAAGTCTAAAGTGTCTCTTTTTTTTTTTTTTCTTTCTCTGTTGCAGGTTCAGGCCCTCTGTGCCGGTGGAGTATGTGCAGTCCAGCTTGGCCTTCTCGGATTTAGACTCATGTTTAGCATTTCTAACAGGGCTTGGGGTTACATTAACCCCCTCTGACCCAAGCAAAATAGACTGTAAAGTTAGCTCAGCCAGTCTTACAACTTTATAGTATGGGAAAAGGGTGGGGGTTGACCAGAGAATTGGCTTTTATAGAGCTTAAAAAGACAAAACTGTAGATAAGGGACCAGATATCTACACAACAGATAAGACACACTCAGTCTAGAACTGATCATATTTATGAAAGATAACTTTTTTTTTTAACTCTTGTAGAGTGATGGACTTTCTGACAGATGACATACAGGGACTAGGTGCCATATTCAAGACCCAGTATAGCCTATTCACACAGCCCATTTAATGAAGTATCAGACAACCAGTTTACTTGCGCACACTATCCCTTACACCAATAGAAAAAGGAAAAAGAGGCAAAGATCTGATGGGGTCGGGGTCAGCAGGTTATGTCAGGTCCCCACATCACAGAGCTCAAAAAAGCATTTAAGCTAACAGTGTTGTGTGTTCTCATGTTTTTCTCCCCTCAAGCAAACAGCCGCAAAGCTCAAGACCTGAAAACATCATGGTTAACCAAGAATATAATGTGAGCCAGTTGCCACCAATGGTGTACCAGCTCATCAAGTCTATGTGAAGCCAAAGGATCCTTCTGCAAGGTTTTGGTCATCTTTAATGGACTTTAAAGCAAAGTGAGCTTCAGTGCAATCCTTCAAGCAAGAAGAGGATGGTTTGTATTCCCTATCTTTCTCTTTGCCTGAGATGTCTTCAGTGGTTCACTGGTGGAGGTGCTCTGTTGGATCTCCTGGCTCCCTTCATCTCTAGGATCCTAATGCTGATAGCATGTAATATTTGGACTGAGCTATAACAAGACAACCACCGTTAAAAAATGCAGATTAGGCCCTGTTCCGCATTGTGATAAGTTCCGCGCCCTTCCCGCACAGTCTTCTCTCCCTCTCCTGCACATCATCAACACTCAAGAAGCTGGCCTTCATTAGTCAAAGATAACCTCCTAATCATTCCTCGACACCCAGAAAGCACAACTCAGTGACTCAAAATATTTCACTTCCACCCCAGCTGTGATCTGAACAGGGCCTATCATTCTAAAAGTCATCCAAGTCCACTTAGGGTGTTCATTCACCACTAGGTTTGACCACCAGCTTCTGAAGAGCGAAGTCCTCTTACAAAGCACCCCCCAGCATAGAAGGTCCCTAAGCCTAACATGCAGTCAGCCTGAGAAGCAAAAGTTATTCAGAAGGAAAAGCAAGCTCTGTTTTCCATCACAGCAAGTTGGCGGCTCTCTCTTGTCTCCTCTTCAGATGGTGATCTCCACTAGTCACCTCACTTCTACAAGGGCATCCACTGTCCTGCTGGGGTTTGGAAACACATGGGTTTGTATGGCTCCTTAAGCTTTGGCCACGTCAACTGGTAATGGCTGGTAAGAAGGACTTGATATTTTGAAAACGTGGTGAAATCTTCGTTCAGCTTGGGTTGAGGTGTTACCACTGTTGAACAACGTGCTTGGATTGGTATCGGTTTAATCCTTCTGGCAGGTTGTGAATTTGTCATTTCTCATTTTAAAATGGGCCTAATACTGAACCCTGTTGCACTCCTTATCTGCAAGATTGACACCAATAGATCCATACAAAAATCTAAAGGATCTGCTCATTTTACATGGATATTACTGTGATACAGTAGTAAATCTCAGAGATTGATATGGTATCATGGTCTTAATCTAGCCAATGATTGAAGCACAAACACATTGTAGTAAAAACGTTGTACCAATTCAAAGTATTACAAAGTTAATCTAATGCTCCTTGATTTCTAATGGACTGCTTTAAAATTGGAGTTGCTACTTGTACATCAATTTCATTGTAAATGAACAAGGAGCATGTGCACCAGCATTTTTCTTTTTGACGTAATCAGGTTTATTTAATGTTAAGATCTAGCATGGATAAGGCTTGGGTCTGAAATATGTGTGCTTTAGCAAGATGTGCTCAGGGCCACTATGAGCAGAAAGCGTCCCTAACACCTCGTTGGTGAAATTTGTACATATTTGCTCATGTAAATAATGTGAGAAGTGAGTTTTTTTTTTTCTTTTTCCTTATGGTTACTTTGATTTCATAGATTATTTGTTTGTACAATGGTAAGTGTCGTTTTGAACTATACATTAATTTTGCTGGCAGTTTTAAAAGTTTAAATATAATATTTTGGGTGGTGAGCATGTGCATACTGATATGCAGTTTAGTGCATATAATTTTCATGTTCAAATTATTCTAAAGTTTCTTGTTCCCCTAGACCAGGGGTAGGCAAGTTCGGTCCTAGAGAGCCGCAGTCCTGCAGAGTTCAGCTCCAACCCTGAAAAAAAAGCTCGCCTGCCTATAGCCTTAGTAATCCTGAAGACATTGATTAGCTTGTTCAGGTGTGTCTGATTAGGGTTGGAGCTGAACTCTGCAGGACTGCGGCTCTCTAGGACCGAACTTGCCTACCCCTGCCCTAGACATTAAATAAATTACGTTAGGAAGTAAAACATCCAATCCACACTCATGAAGGAGTCATGAATTTATATGCCAAATCTTTCCCTTGTTGATCATTACTTCATATTTCCAAGCAATTTTTGTCATTTCTTTCCTTTTGTTTCTTAAGTCATCTTAGCTTTGTGACTTTCTGTTTTATCATCTTCCTTGTTTCCCTGTTCAGCTTTTCTTGCTCTCATACCTGTAAAAATTCACTTGTTAGACACAGAAGTTTCCAACAATAAGAGAAAGATTTGGTTTAAGCCCACACTGGGTTTTTTTTGTTGTTGTTTTTTTTTTGTAGTTTTTAACCCAATGTACTAAAGTTGGGAAATGGTTATAATCAAATATTTCTAGCTCATTTTGTTTACCTTCATCTTGTATTTGGTTGTACATTGTAAATGAATTATTTGCTGATGCTGCTGGTTGCCACACTGACTTCGCTCTCCTCTCCTCCTCAACTTTCAACCCCTCCCACCCCTTGTTCTCCTCTCTCCTCCTGCACTCCTTCATTACCAGATTCTCTCTGTCTCTTCTTGCAGTCATGCACATTCGGAGCTAAGCAAGAGATGAAAAGGAGGGCAAAACTAATCCAGAGGCACACTGGAAAATGGGCATTGAGACATCCAGACATCAGCCAAATGAGATGCTTCATTGTGCCTGTTGTTGTCTGATGCATTTGTCATTTTGAGGAGAGCCTGGTGATTTCAATTTGCAATGTTTTCCTTGATGCCTTTATGAAACCATGACAAATCCACCATGTCAGTCTGAAGATGATGTATGGTTTTTTTTTTAGGAATTGCTCCATATAGTGTTTCGTAGAATTGCTGCTGTATGTTCAGGTGTGTCTTCTCTATTAACGTTGCTTTTTTCTCTAAGTGTATTAATAGGCGTTTTGTTTTGACTGCTTGTTTTTTTTGTTTATTTTTTTGGCAATTGCGGTTTACTGCTGTATTGTTTGGTGTTTTGTTGATGGACTGGGGTTTCTGATGTCTAACTTTTGAGTTTAATATAAGCTGTAAAATTGCATACTGGACATACCTGGACATACAGATGGTTAGACATTTTCTAGAAATCCATACAGTAATGTCTCTCAGGTCTTAAAAGCTCACTGCAGTTTCTAATGGTAATGTCGATTGGCTGCCCATAATGCCTATTACTTAAGGATTGTCCAAAGCAATGTTGATTGTCTCAATTGATACCACAGTTTATTTTGTTATTTCATGGAATATATTTTTAGCCCTTGCTGTTGTAGTTAGTGTAATATTTTCACAGCAGTATTACTAACAGTCTCATCCCCTCTCTTCAAATGTTGCCTGTCCTCTTGCACTTCTAATTTCTTTAACGTCTTTCCTCTGCTTCAGTTCATATTGTTTTAGATTTGCCTCGAAGTGTTCTCTTACATTATTTCGACTCTTTTTGCTTTGTCTCATCTTTAATATTTTTTTCAGCAATCTGTTCTTTCTGCATGTTCCTCGTCTCCCTCTTCTTTCCTCTATTGTGTTCTGTAATGCAATGTTGTGATTGGTTTATATGTAGTCAGTGCTTGGCAGTAAGTATTTCGATAGGACTGTATTTGCATCTGTTTTTTTCTTTTACAGCTCGACCTCTCAAAGCCCTAGTGTCTCTGCCCTATCTTAGAGCTCCATGTGTTCATATACAGTGGAGTTCATAGAGAAAATACTGCCGTTTGTAGATGCTGATTTGTACATAATGTACCTACTTTCTTATCTTGAGAGAAAAATAAAGAATTAAATCTTATGTTTTTTTTATGCTACTAGAAACTAAGTCTGCAAACTGACAAGTTGCAAAGGTTTGCATGTGCATTGTGCTTCCTGCTCTGCTTCTCAATAGTGATTTGTTTTAGCTTGTGTATATAGAATTTTTATTTATTTTTTTACACAAACTAAGTTTTTCGCCATTTACAATCACACTTTAAATTGCACACTATGGTCCTGAGGTGCAATACAAGAATTTTGTCCAGTACGAATATTCCATGCATTTTTTCATTCAAAATAACTGCGTAAATATTAATACAGAAAATAAGATTCCTTGTAGTTCCGAACCAAGTAATCTGTAGGTTGTGTAAATTGATATGATAGAGTGATTTCTGCAGTATAGATTACAATACTGTTCAAAATGGGTATATACTTAAAAGGTTTAATTGTGGAAAAACTATGTATGTGTATATATTTAAAATATATACAGAAGATATTCTGAAGGATCATGTGACACTGGAGTAATAGCTGCTGAAAATTCAGCTTTACCATCACAGGAAGAAATTATAATTTATAATATATTTTAAAATCGAAAACGGTTAATTTAACAACATTTGTAACTACTTCTGAAAAGTAATGTATTTGAGCAAATAAAGGCAGATTTGGTGAGCCTAAGAGACTTGTTTACATATGAAAGTTTGTGTGTAGAAATACAATAACTTAAAACAACAGTAAAATTAGGTCTACATTCTGAAACATTTATTAGAATATTTTTGTCTTATCCTTCATACCAAATGACATTGGTTATTACATATGAGCACCTTCAGGATAGGCCACTCAGAGAAACACTGAGGGACAGGAAAACATCAGGACAACCACATTCATGGAAAGTAGTTTCGCTTGAATTAAAAAGACACTTAAGTTGATTGACTTCATCCTAGATTTTTGACACTGTATACACGAGAATGTTGGTAAACATTATTCAAGTAAAGGCGTAGGCTCCAAGCCCCATGATGGTTCTCAATACAGTCCTGTAGTTCACTTTTGTAGGACTAATAACACACTTTAGTAGGAGGGCTAATAACACACTCGGCTGCATGTGTTTCAGTGGAATAAAACCCTTGAGTGTTCAGTACGCGTCAATCTGTCCCTTTGTAATAACTCAACAACAAAAAATGAAGCGACAGCAACACAACCACAATAACACTTTCTAAAGAAGAGCAGGATTTGGGAGCAGACCTAAGCTTTAGGGTTTAGGTAGATGATGGCTTTATCTCTTTATGCTTTTGCGTTAATTATGTCGATAAACTCTGGTTTCAAGGAAGCTCCGCCCACCAGGAAGCCGTCCACATCTTTCTGAGAAGCAAGTTCCTTGCAGGTCCCTCCAGTGACGGATCCTGAAATGGTGGACAATAAAAAGGGTGACATTTTGAACAAGGATTTTTATTTATATAAAGAACAGTACACACCAAATAATTGTATTGTTGATGGTATTTGGATCTGCTGCTGCTTGGAAAATGTCTCTTAAATCTTCTGAAAAGTCAAGCAAATTCTTTCCCAAGAGCCCTAACGCAAGCAGCTTCACCAGTTGTTTATAGCAATAAACTACACTGGTATCACGGTGGAATGTATGTATTATTGAAGGCATAGCACCACCCAAATTAGATACTTCATTTGCATACCCATAATGCCTTTAATGTTTAAGGTCATTGTTTCAGTCACCACCAATGAGGTACCCATTCAAAGTCATAGGAGATGTTGACTGAACAATTGCTAGTTAGAAATAGTCTCTTTTAATATTTGTCCAGTAGGTTTCCTTTAAAAGGAAACCCATTTATTACTGTTAAAAACAGAACGACCGGTATTAGAACATAGCGTTTCAAACAGCTTTATAATCCACATTTATGTACTGTCGAGTTCTAAAACTACCACAAATTATGCTTTTTTAAAAATTATTCAGAATACTATGGGCAGTAAACCAGGGTGAAAGCATAATTTGTCTACCAAAAAAATAATATACTACAGCAAAGTTTATTTTTGTTTATTATAGGGCTGTTTGAAATGCTTGATTCCAATTGCAGTCAAATGCTCCTCAATATTCATCACTGCCTATCTGGCTTGCTAGTTTCTTATCTTTCATATCACACTACAGTCTCACTCAGTTTTATACAAACAGTTGCTGCGAGCTTGTCTCGGTTATTGATTGTGTTAAAAATTAATTAAAATTATTAAATTTATAAAATTATTTTTGTAATTAAAATTAATTACAAAAATTAATACAATGTAATACTGTTGCAGTGTTTGTCTTGTTGGCTAGTAGTTTTGAATATAATGAAAATAATTGAACCATGAATGAGACACTCACTTACAGTGATGAGAGTTTTACTACACAACAACTAGC